ACACTTCACCCCAAATTGCTCCTGTGGGGATTGCCCACAGTATTGAGTATGTAAGTCACTTTGGATAAAAGCGTCTAACAAGTAACATGTAATGTAATGAAAAGAAGTGCAATTTTCAAAGCAGTACATCTGCTAGCATAACGTACATGTATGCTAATGTAGTAATGACTAAACCTGTAAGGGAAATGCATAGGCTATATGATGTCACTGAAAGTTGCGTTATAAAAACATTTAGGCTTAGTTACTCCCTGTTGCATTAGCCTATTGTTTCCAATAATGAATTAAGCAGTGGTGCAAAAACCAGTTTCCCAATGATGACTATGGCTATACTGAGTCTAGCGGTTTCCCTTCAGTCTTTAAACTAAGCTAACATAAACTAACTGGGTATAGCTTCAGATTAAATGTTGTCTCTCTCCAGTACCTGTTTGCCACACAGCCTAAATGGGGCATACAGGCACTGTTTACTACATATTAATGCTGCTAATATAAGAATTGTGTGCTTTTATAATATATGTAATTATCATTATTATAATTATTTACTTGTTATCTTTTGTGTGTGGTTTTATTACATCTTTAGAATTAATCATTTTTGTAATTTTGAAAACTCAAAAATGAAATATTAAAAAAAACATGAATGCAGCTAGATATCATTGTTAATTACACAAATATGTTAATGACTTTACTGACATGAAATATCCTGAAAATAGTACAACCACAAGACGTGTTACAGCATAAATAAAGGGCTATCGGACTCATATTTGGGCAACAATACACAGACATGATGATATTTGTAATAATAAAAAAAAAACTATTATCTACAGTGTGTGTGTGTGTGGAGGAGTAAACATGTATACACTAATGGATCTATGAGAGCTGTGAGGGTCTTGACACTCACGCAGAAGTGATGGCACGGTATCGCTCCAGCCCGGCCGTGTCCCAGATCTGGGCCTTGATGGTGAAGCCGCTGAGCTGCACGGTGCGCGTGCTGAACTCCACCCCGATGGTTGTTCGGCTGTCATGGTTGAACTCGTTTTTGGTGAAGCGGGACAGCAGATTGCTCTTTCCTACACCAGATTCTCCTATTAGAACCACTGCGGAGGACAGAAAACAGAGAACACAGAGTGAACACAAGTTTTTTCCTTTTGAGATATTTGGGTTTGATAAGAGATATAAGATACTTTTGTGCAGCCCGGTTTGGGAAATGATATTGCCACAGCAGCATGTCCACAAGTATTACACATTCAAATGTACAAATAAACCAAACAGATACTGCATGTCAACAGTGAAATATGTATACCTCCTAGAGTATCTCTATTGAATAGTTTGGTTGTTGCATACCAAACCTTGTATTTCTTGGATAAAAGAGACAAATTTACAAAGCCTAATAATAGCAGATTTAGTTTTTCCAGTTTCTCCTTTACAGTCTTTTAGGCGTGCCTTTCTTTGTTGTTCCATAAATCTTAATTATTACCTGTCTAAGACAAGTCCTATTTAATACAAATAAAAAAACAGCACCACACCCTCATTGTAAATAGGTTAATGGTTTTAAGCATGCAGCGCAAATAATGCAATGAGAAGGCATGTTGAGTAAAGTACTGGAGAACAATGTGGTTTGTTGGCCTGAAAGAGACTACACCAGATTATTGATTGGTGAGGAGATAACCGAGGATCATGTGGGGCTGTAGGCTATCCCAGCATGCATTGGTGAGATGCCAATTCTAAAATATGGTGAATTTTTTTTTGGTTTATCTTTTTATTTTCACACTGAAGAGTGAAGATGCCAAGTAAAGGAAGCAGAGTACAAGCAAGATTAAAACCTTCACTCATTGGGGCAGAGATGTGGATTTTACAATCGATATTTGGAAGATTTCATGTAGTTTTCTTTCACCAGGGATGTCTGCATTTGCCTGTAATTTCCTTTAAGTTGGCTAAGAGTATAATTGAAGCTGTGCAGCACAACTATCAGTCATGCATCACTCGTGGTGTGAGTTATTGATGTTTTAGAAACCTATTTTAGCAAAACATTTATGAACTTTCCTAAAGGGGGAGGACATACTTCCCTCTCGGAAAGACTGAAAACTTTTAAGGTAAAAACCTCTCACAAGTAAACCTTTGTTTCAGGAAATAAAACAGTCTCTGAGTGTAAGGTGATTCCAAATCAGGCAGAACAAGTTTTGCTGCCACTGCCTTTTATCTTGGTCAGAAGAACCGACCTACTGGGCAAAAAGGACGGGAAATAACACAGAAACCCCCTCTGTGCGTTTCAGTGACTAATGTTTGGGTTTCAGTTGCTAGTGGTTGACTCGAAAAGAAAAAAGGCTTGGCCTAATTGGCACAGAATGGGAGAATATGACCACACTGTGAACACATAGCACTGGGATCACTGCACAACTGAATAAGACACAGTCACAGCTTATTGCTTAGGGTGTGAGCTGGTGAATTTAGAGATAATAATCCTACTTCTTGTGACATCTCGACAGCCATTAAGTATAGAGTTAGGGTGTGATGGGATTTGGGAGACATTTTGGAAAATATGCTTTAGATTATTTTCAGAATAGTGATACCACTATCAATATGTTTGAACACTAAACATGTTGCTTAGCATAAATACTGGAAGCAGGGGGAAACAGCTAGTCCATCTCTGTCCAAAAGGTTAAAATAAGGTTTAACTGGGAGTTTTATGTCACAAGCTTTTGGAATTAAACAGGGCGAGGCTAGCTGATTCAAGTGTTTAAGCTAAATTACACCACACATTGTCCTTTAATACAGAAGAAACAAATAAGATATAACATGTTAATTAGTGAGCCACATTGGTGCTGGTAGGGGGATTTGTATTTAACCTAAGAGTGTTGATAATTGATTCTTACATATTCTGCACAAGAGTACATTTAGCTTTAGCCTTTTGTACTTTTACTTAATGATTTCAAATCCAGGCTCTTAGCAATGGATTATTTGCTCAAAAGGTTGTTTTACACAACCCAATCATGTTGCAAACACAAAAAAAATATTGTAATGCTGTATTACTACTCTAAATGCGCTTATAAATCAATAGTCTTCAAAATATTTGTGTTTTTTTTCTCCTTTTCTGAGCTTGACAACAAAACGCCTAACTCAAAATTACAATAAATGCATAGCCTTCTGATTATTGGTCTATCAGGACTAGTTATATATCATATCAATGAATGAAGTGATACTTCCAAAACATATTGCATTTATATTTTGTATCTGACTCGTTATAACTACTACTACACATCCTAGTAAAACAACATCCAATAGAATAATATCCATTTCAATGGATGGAGGATCTGAACTGGTTGTACATTCCCTGAATAAATTGCTGTCTGAGAGCAATCTTACACCAAGACCCATCATAATGTTTACATGCTTTGAAACACATTATCAGCCACACCATTTTTACTGATGAAGTTCATGTTATCTGAGTTAAAGTGCCAGAACAGTAACTTAATTGACCTAATAGTGAGACTGTCTTTTAACCGTGTTCCTTTCCACAGTCCAAAAGGAACTTTGACTTCAACTTTCCAAGCCACCCTGAACTAACAATTCCTTAAAATAAACAACATGTCACTAGTTTACTATTCACCTGTCACACAACAGCAGATACAAAAATATTTTCCTAACCACCTTCTGACTTGACTCGGCCCCAGTGCTTGATTTACAGTATGTCTAACCTGAAGTCTGCAATTGTGGCAAAGAATATTTTACAAGTTGTTCTACTCTTGCTTGTTTAAGGTAATTGTTCTATCTGCAGCCAGACCACTACTGCTCTTTCTCTCAGCGGGTGAGGTGAGAAAGCTGCTCTCCCCCTCCTCTCCTCCACTACTCAGTAACTTCTTATGCAAACAATACCAACAACTGGTTTCTATGGCGATGCAGGACAAGAGGCCTTCAAGCCTGGTTTGTTGATTCTGAGAAAACTGGGAAGCACTTGATGCAACGCAGGGAGGATTAACCTTTCCTTTTGTTTTGATTTGAATGACCTGCAGGACAGGTAATGTAACAGAACTGCACTGAAGTCCTGGTGGAAATGTGATTAAGGAGTAGAATCAACAACAAGGTTTCATGTCTCGACAATATTCACATATATTCAAGTGTTCAAAAATATTCATTATGGTATTGTTTCTTATCTTTTCTTTAGAAATGCCCAGTTATCTCATTATATACAAATGTTGAGTGGTTGGCAAAACTAAAAAACCTTTGCATAAAATAAACTCACTCCTGCATCGTCCTTACTGTATCACTGTCCCTTAACCTTTGTATAGGCTTACTTTTATTTACTGTATTACAACTGCTTACATTGCTATGTTTATTACATCTGATTATGAATATGCACTTATTATCCATCTGTTTATATTATTTTATTTATTTTTCCATTACTGTGTCTGACACAAGATAATATGATTATATATGCAAAAGAGTTATATGTTTTCGATTTATTTTAACTTCTGCCCTATATTTTACGTCTTTAAATGTAATTTTTGCAACTGATTCTCTTTAGTTGTTGTGAAGTGATATTAATTAAACTTCTTCCGCAATGTTGCCATGTACAGTATATAGGGGCACAAGAGCATGTAATCTGATTTAACTGATTAGTTCTCTGAGCTTTCTGTGAATCACTGGGGGAATGAAAACCAGCAAGATAACATACCACACACCACGAAGGAGAACTGCAGCAGTGAAAAAAAGTGCAGTTTCATTTTCCAGCTCCACCGTTACTGCATCCATTATTTATTTATTTATTTTTTCCACATTAAAAGAACAGTTTATTCGTTTGGGTAATAGGCTATGCTTATTTTCTTTGCTTTTAAGTGTTAACTAGAGAAAATCAAAACCCTCCTGTATGATAAATATAAGACTCCACAACCCACAGGCAGTTAGCTTAGCTTAGCCAACACTGGACACTGGGGGATATGTAGCAACGTCCTGCACATACTGTAAGGCTCTTTAAAGGCATGCGTTGTTAATTTAACACTCAAGTCTTTGCACAGATTAAACAAATTGGACTTAATGTGTTAAATGGTAGTAATCTTTAATGGTGCTAGAAGGTACATTTTGCCATCTTTGGATAGAGCCAGTTTTTATGCTAAGCTAAACCAAACTACTGCTTTATATTTACTGTAAAAACATAATCTTCTTGTGTAACCTTCAGTAAGACAGCAAAAAAGCATGTTTCCCAAATTTTTTAAATATGAAGTTATCTTTTTTGTTCCTTTTTAACTAAACCAGAGTAAAGGGTGTTATATGTCGTACTGACTGTAGGCTACTTCCCCTTACTTTTATAAAAAAGGGCTGAGAGATTGTCATCATTACCAGGTGCAGATTACACATAGGCCTATACATAGAGTCTAGACAGGGCCTGCCACTCTTGGACTGGACTGAGTTTGACTGTTCAGCTCAACCACATGCTAATCCTCTGCTCCTGCGAGACAGAAAGAATCAAAACATCTGCCAATTGTTTTCTAGATTAATTGATTAATTGTTGGGTCGTTAAAATGTCAGATATTAGTGAAACATGTCCATCCAAGTCCAAGGTGATGTCTATAAATGTCCCAGAGATATGCAAGTTACTATGTTATAAAACAAGGACAAGCCAGCAATATCTTTGATGAGAGGCAGAACACAGCATATTGTGCCACTTTTGTACTATTAAACTAAATAGTTGGACACGGTTTTTTTCTGTCTATCAACTAAAAGATAAGTTAACTCATATGTGCAGGTTTACCATTGAAAAGATTATAATTGGCCATTTCTGATAGCTTTGACAATAGAGACAGACAGGAAATGATATCAAACTCTTTTATGATTCTTAAGCTATTGCTAATGTTGCAGTGGGACCAGTGCATGTGATGCTGTTTGATGTTTAGGATACCGATTATTTGGATTTCACATTCACCTGCAGTGCCTTTTATCAGCATGGCAGTTTGTACCCAAATCACCTCTCTGAAACGTTCACTTACATCTGCTAAGAGCCATCTGCTACCTTACCAAGCTGCATATAAGAAATTATTACAGTGCTATGAAGGTTTAGTGCAGAATGAATAAAGTGAGTGGGAGCAGCTGCTTCTTATCAAAGAACACTGTTATAAACTGGATGTGTTATCTTTTACGAGTGATGAACTGTTTGTTTGCTGTGACACAGGGTGTTAAACTAGAAACTCTATGTTACAACATTGTACTGTTGCCAATAAACAGGATTTTTAAGTACACATCCTGGTTTGAACAAAATGCGGTGTACTATGCATGCTTCCAATGTACTCCCAGAGAAAATTCTGAACCTGCAATGTGATTGTAGTACAATTCAACTTTGTAGTAATAAAACTCACATTAAAACTTGCCAAACATCAACATACACCATCTAATCAGCTGACTGAACTGTACATATACATGTTCAGGCGTATAGCTGTATTATCTGTGTTTTACCATGTGTTGTTTTATTATACGGATTGGGTTGTAAAATGTTTATTACTAAATATCTATTGCATTTTGTAACCACACCACACATCCCTGTTCCTGGCATGCAAACAACCAGGTTAATCATAAACAAGGAAGTATCGTTTAAAAGGACAAAGGAACATCACAGAACATAAAACCTTTCAAACTTTAGGGATGTATCTGGGGTTTGGATCAAGTAAGCAGGAGAACTTGCACTCACCCTTAAAGACAAAGTTGTAAGCCTCATCTGACCCCATATTCTGTCCATCCAGTGTTGCCTCCCCTCGGTTTACTGCCGTGTCTCCAGCACTCACACACTCCTGCAGGATGTAAGACGACACTGGCTCTCACCGCAGTCTGCCTCTCAGATCCTCAGGCTTCAGGAAGGAAAAATGGCTGCAGAAATGTTTCAACACATGAATGCCAGTCGCCAGTTTTCTGCCCTTCTGCTACCCTTCCCTATCTGAGGTGATAGAAAGCTGGCTTGTTTGAACAAGACATGCTGAGTGTATCCAAGTTGTTGTGCTGCGGGGGCGGGGCTCCTGTCAGGGAGTGGCGGGGCAGCAGCTGAGGGGGCGGGGCTTCCTGCAGGCAGGTTGGACAGGTGGGGCAGTTAAGGCTGAGGGCTGCCAGGTGCCTCCTGCTGGACCAATAAGAGTAATGCATGCAGGAAGCAAGTGTATTGCTTCATCACTAAATGAAGCAATACACTACATCCCAGTATAAACCAGTATGAAAATGGTAGGTCTATTATATTGTACCGCAAGTACACATAACTAAAAGCACCTTCTATTTTGAGATGTTTATATTTTAGAATTGTCTATTTCTACTCTTTTCATTTGTTATTATGTGCAATGCCTTGTTTCTATTTATGCTGCTGCAACAAAATGTTTTCCCAAATTGGGATTAATAAAGTACATAATATCTTATATTATCTTCAGACTGATATGTCCATCTCATTTAGCCAAGAAAGAGTACACATTTGTTCTTCATAATTGTCATAATTATTAAAAAAAAATCCAGGTATGTTCCTATTCTCTGTTTAAACAACAATTAGTCAGGGATACTCAACTTGCTTTGCCTTGGACCAGTTTTGAACATGACAGGAGGACTGGGTGATATATAGGGGAAATATAGTATAATTAAACATTGAAAGGCCCATAATCAATGTTATTTTCAAATTAACTGACTCATTAACATAACTTAACTAGGAATTAGTTTGTCACAAACCTTGACACAGTCCCTTTACTGCATTTAAAAATGCATTTTAGTTGTAAAGGCTTTTGTTTGAGAGTTTAAACAACATTAAACGTAACTTCTTCTATCCTGCAATGACTCAAGTGATTGAATGATTCGTAAACATAAACTGTTAACACAAACCATCTCTACATATTGTGAAAAACACACATTTAAGGATCTGAATATCCTCATTCATGGGTGGTACTGTGTAGTTCAGTTTATACTTTTTTTCATGGGGCATATATTTATTTTCTAAAATGTTGAATTAAATCTTCTAGTCTATTTTGATGTTTTTTTCATTGTTAATGCACCCTGGCACATCATTAACATTTAAAGCACAGAGAATGAATGTGGCCAGTGGAAAGTAAATTGAGTATCACTGAATAAGGTCCTTTTATTTCTTTCAAGTGTATATGGCTTTGAGACTTATTTTGATTAATTTAATCAGCCATCTTTCATGTTCCTCCAATTCTCCTTTGCCAAAGAGCTCAAGGTCACTCAAACTGTAGGGAGTTTTAAAGGTTTATGTTTAGGGCCATACAAGCTTTATAGGCCTCTTTTAGCTCTGTGTTTGTTCTGTCAGTGTCTAACAATGTTGCCATGTTGAAAGTGAAAACATTTCCATTTAATTTGTACCAAAGAAAACTTCAACTTTGTCAACTTTCAAATCCTTATTCTAAAAATCCAGGTAGACCTGATATTTTAGCTTTAAATTCATCCAAAAGAGTAGCACTCACACCAAGCACCAGTGCAGAGAATGAAGATAAAAAAGCGAATATGAAACCAAAAGTTGTTTATTTGATAGCTTTGAAACAAAACAAAATGAATAAAAATCAACTGCATTGTCCTGAACGTTTTCAGAAACCATTTGACTCCACCGACAGGGTTCAAAGTTTTACATTTTCTGCTTAGTTGCCCGAGCTTAACCTGCAAATGAATGAATCAACCGTAGGAACAGTGGATCGGATCATTTCAGCAGTTGTTCACTTAGAGTTACTATTAAAAATTCATGTGGACTTTCAGAACAGACAATTAGATGAGCACAAGAGTCATAAAGCTGGGCAAATCAATAGAAACTCAATACAACTTAATAGTTTCAATACCATGAATATAAACACACTAACCCCCCTCACTCCAACACACACACTCCCACAAACACTCATAGATATGTGCATGTACACAGAATGTTACAGTAGTCCATGAAATGCCTGGGTCACATGATGTCTTTTCCCCATGCACACATAGGCAACAGGCAGAGCTTCAGTCACATCTCCACTAGGATGCTGCTACTTGTGTTAATGGTTCCTCCAGGTACAGCACCAGAGCTTCTGCCTGTAAACACAACATACACAGAACAATTCTGACAAAGGCTGCATTCAGATTGACAAGTTATGCTGAACTAGTTTAAGCCTTTGCCTTATGTGTTGTAGTGTAACAAACAAGCTGTAGTATATGGCTTCCTCAGGGTTCTTACTAGACCCTGCAGAAAAACGCGATTCTGCGATCGCAGAATTTACCGCATAATCAGCAAAATGGCGCAGATTTTTAAAATGCCGCATATTTATCAAAAGACCGCATAATCCCCGCATTTTTCCACACAAAATTGAGAAAAAAAAAAGTCAACTCGTCTTGACGTGACGTCATCAGCTCGCGCATCACAGAATGTAAACAACACTGTATTGAATGAACGTGTGGAGCTCACACGATAGAGAAAACACCAAGATTAAAAAATCTAATCCATCTCATTTACCGACGAACATTTCTACTAAAGACCGGGCAAAAAGTGGGGGGAAACTATTCTGCACCCCGTGCAACTGTGTGTTGGAGCATAAGAGAAAATCCACGGTGACGAGACGACCCACTTTGATTCATTCAAACATTCGAAAATGCTTTCTGCTGCTGCGGACAAGAAAGCCAAACGACTCACGCTCACCGAGGCATCATCCTCCAAAACCCTTTCGAGGGCTACAAGAAACGAAGTGAGTAGCCCGCATATTTAATCGCATAATCAAGGATTTTAGCCCGCATAATCAAGGAATTTAGCCCGCATAATCAAGGATTTTAGCCCGCGTTTTTCTGGAGGGTCTATCTTACACCTTATCCAAAGTCAAATTCAAGCACTTTTCAAGCATTTTCAAGGTGCATTTTCAAGCATCTTACAGCTGTTATGAATTACATATTGATATACACATACTCAAATGATTAGTTCCCTACCTCACATTAAATCAGATGTGCTTTATGCTATAAACAACCAAGGACTTGGACAACCAAGGACTGTTGACCTCTGGGTGAGTACCTTCAATGGACTAACAATGGCTAATCCCAAACTGTACTGCTTTTTCCTTGCGTTATTCGCCGCCTCCCTACCCCCTCCTGCGCATAACAAATACGAACCGCCACTTCTATCATGTGTGATTATGAGGTCTCTACACAAGATGATTACGTTACATTCCACTGTCAATGTGCGCACAACACAAACTAGGCATTGTGACTCACTGCTAGCTCTTGGCTGTGCTCTGATTGTATTACTACAGATGATATCGGGCAATGTGCATGTTCATCCTGGACCTTCTATTGTATGTAGCCCTAGTTCTGACCTGTGTCCTATTGTCAATCTTTGTCACAATGATCTGATTTTCCCTGACTTTTGCTCTTGTATAGCTTTAGGTTTTCTAAATGCTAGAAGCATAACAACAGCCGGGGTTTCTTGTGAGTGTTTCCCCGGTAAACAAACACAATACACACAAACACCCACTCGCGAGCTAACCCCAAGACCAGTAATACTAACGAAAATGTGTCTTCGGGTCAATGTGACTGATTTCGATAGAGCAAGTCACATTTGGTTTAGGCACGAAAACATACTACCAGTAGAAACATTGCTTTCAAAATCGCTCTGTGTCGAACCAACAGATTATATTTCGTGACTATAACACGAAATGCTGTGAGACTGGGTTGAATTACCAGTGAGTGCTTCATCCTCTGAACACCACACGATGGCGACTGTAACGCACATAACATAGGTACGCTCCTCTGAAATGATTGTCCCCTGCAATTATTATTATCTCTCATTCAGCTCGCTAACGTTAGCTTAAACAAAACGTAACATGCAACGTTAGCCTAATCCAAAATGCTCTACTACGGCGTACCTTTCATGTGGCTCGTCAGCGCAGACTCTCCCATCGTGATCAACTGAATTATTTGTTTGAAAACTTTGCAGGAGGCTACTGGTGGGTTTGACCCTCATCTTAGCCATGGCTTGTATTTGACTTCTGCTAGCCAACGCTCGTTGAAACTGCAACCTCCTGGCATTCTGTTATCTATCACTCATCAGAATGCCCAGGTCACATAGCGCGGGAAGGCCGGAGCGGAGCTGTTCTATGTAAAAGCGAGGTAATTAAGCGCGCTCCGACTCTTTATTTTCTTTTAATCTAAAAAGTGAAGTAAAGCATTTACAATTTCAAGCACTTTATCCAAAATTCAAGCACTTTTCAAACCTTGAAAACACCTCATAAAATTTCAAGCATTTTCAAGGATTTCCAGCACCCGTACGAACCCTGCTTCCTCTATATGACAATGCTTCTTCTCCGGGATCAACATTAACACTGCAGAAACCCATCATGTTTCTATTTAAAAAGATGAGGGTACACATGGGTATGGGGCTTGCAAACCTCCATCTTTACATATCCCATGGGCAGCTTTGTCCAACACCTTCACTTGTTGCTATATTAAGTTATAAACTACTATTGACTATGACATGATGGAGGAAGAGTACCTTCAATATCATTTGTATAACAGGGATTATATAAATGATATTGGCCAGTACAACTAATTCCATGGTAGTAAAGGCAGGACATTGGTTGTATAGGGAACCATTATGTGATTTTGGCATCGACTGAAGAAAAACTCACCTTGGCTTTAAGCATTCCAAAACCCACTGTCTCTTTGGCGTACATACACAGTAGCAGGTTGGCGACACGGGTGATAGCCACTCTCCCCTCCTGAGAGACAAAACAGTAAGTGAAAATGAGTCCCTATATAAACTATTCATATCACACAAATTCATGACATACCTAAAAAATAATGTCTTACCATACAATCCATGAGAATGAATTTCAGTTTGTCTTCGTTAAAGGCTTGGTGGCCATTCTTGTCGTAGGCCGCCCAGATGTTGCTCGCAATGGCAGCTGTCACCCGTGCGTCAGTATCTCCGTACCCAGAGTAGGCCAGGAGTGATCCTTCATTATTCAGTAAGCTGGAGAAAAGGTAGAGTTGAAAGTTTCAGTATCGAGAAGACGAACATGTTAAAAAGCTTTAGCATAGACTCTCAGTGTATAGATGTACTCAAACTATCTCTATCAAGCTATCCAACGTGGTTCACTATTTGAATATAAATATATATATTTGTCTTCTTTACTTGCTTGTAAAGTGCTTTGAGCACCAGGAAAAGCGCTATATAGCCTACATTGAATGTATTATTATTATTATTATTATTATTTACATCTACCAAATTAACCATAGTGTATAACGCATATGAAGTAGACTAAAATGGCTGAACTATGTCAGTTTGAATGCCAATTACAAAAACAATGACTGTGTTTATAATAAATAAGAACAACAAATCAAAGGAATCTGTAGAAATGCAGTAAATGGTGAACTGAAACTGATGGATAACAAAAAACTGATAAGGAAATGTTTTGATTATAAAAAAATATTTTAAATACATTTACAAAATAGCAATACCAGCTCCTCATCTGTGCCAATGTAAGGTTTTTCTTTGTGATGGGATATTACATCGTTGTGATTTGAAGGGAATTGTAAATGTCACCTTTCAAATTATAACATCATGGTCGTCTATTTTCTGACGTTTTATATACACAGTGACTACGATCGACAACAACAATGAGTTAACATTACTCAGTTGATTACAGCCCTATAATTTAGATGTAAGGTTTACACAGTACAGAGATGCTTAAATATAACATAGCAATTTGCTACTGAAAAATACATATTGGTTAATAACTAAGATTGTTTTACCTGCTATGGGGATATTATCTGTTTATCAATATAATACTTAACACTAGAACAATATGTTGACGGGACTCGTACAACGTCAATAAAACAAATTAACTCAGGTAGTAATAATGATTAGCATGTCGCTAGCTAGCTAAATGTACTCACAGTGTGCTCTGGACTCCGTTTGTGTTCGCCTGGCTGAGAACCTGCGTTAATGCCTTTGGTCGTAACATAGCTAGCAACTCACTAACATATAACAATGCAAACAAGCCTAAACTTAAATGACTAAACGACTGCGTTAAAAAGTCAAAAACTATTCAACAACAGTCAGCTGACTGCCTCCTTCCATTTCCGGCTATCTTCGCAATGCATTTTGGGAATTGTAGGCTTTGACGGGATTTACTTCCTACTAAAGCTAAATGTGCCAAGTATATTTACTAAAGACACGAGCTGAAATTCAGTTTGGGTAATCCGTTTGAGTCCGTGTACCTTTTCCTTTCTTAGACCAGTTGTTGTTGCTCTTTACATGGCCAGAGGTTAGGAGCGAGGGGCTTGGCGGAGCGTTAGGAGGTTATTTAAAAAATAAAAGCCCTCGTCTGGTAAATCAATTTCATGATAGATTATTGTTTTGAGATATCGTTGGAATTACAAGACAGATCCCGTTGAGACAGGCTTTAATGCCCCTTCAGTGTTGATTGATAAAATAGAGATGAACAGCCAACAGTGTGATTTTGAAGACAAAATACGGCAAGCCTTCAATCTGCGGCAGAACACCTGAAAAAACTACAACTCTGATTTACATAGTTACAAAATGTATACTGTTGTATCATTCCTCAGTGAGGACAACAACACTTCTCAGAGATACCATTTGATATGTTAGAACAAAAGAAATCTTTAATGGATGCAAGTGTATTTAGTTCATAGTTGACAGGAAATCACATGACATGAGTAACAGTGGGTGATGTGAATTTTAGGTCAAAGTTAATGTGATCTTAAGGCGATATATTGATTCTGGAATTTCTATTTTAGAACAATTTGTAGACCCAAACAACAAAATGCAAATTGCTGTTTTGGCCCATTCTGCAAAAAATAATCCCTATAAACCCAAAATCCCCATATGGCATCACCATTGGCAATACAGCCAGAGATATTAAAAGGTATGCTTACATCATAGAATTGCAAAATCTCTACCATTTGAAATGTCTCTATCCTCTCATTGCTACAATGTTGTATTTTCCAACCCTTATCCCAATGCTCATTTTACACACCTTTGGTCCTCCTATAATCTGAAAACTACCACTTTTCATTCTCGTAAAACATTACAAACAAGATTCAGCACTGACAATGTTTTAGGGGAAATTGAAGAAGAACCTGTCAGGTTAAAAAAAACTTAAATGGTGAGATAGTTCAATAAATACCAGGCAAGAATATGACAAGAAATGTGTAAACAAGCTCAGAACAAAGACCATCACCCAACCTATACTGGAACAACATCCTAAATCAAATCTCTTTATATTACTACCCAATTATAATCTGTTAAAATTAAATAATCATATTTCATGGTAACCTCATGCAGATTTTACTGAATGAGCACTTTTTTTGTCAGAAATCCTGTCCCGCTGCAGTTAGGAATAACTCATTGGTCATATTATAGTAGCAGCGCTGCCACGGCATTTTAACATCAACAATTCATGTTATAAACCAACAACATCCTTCAAACTCTCTCACTATGATTTACAACTGTGTCTAACAGGGTGTTAGGTCAGCCTATAAAGTAGGGCCGTCTTCATGTATTTACTATTAATCTACCATGCCAGTCCCCAACTCTCACACTTCTCCACCGTCAACCGCACAATAACCAGTTAATTTATAAGTCTCTCGATGGCGGCGTTGAGGTCCCCTCCTGTAGCGTTGAGCGCCTGCAGGTTGGCTGCGCGGTCAACGAAGCCCATGGTGTTGAGCTGCTCTAGCTGGTGCCTGAACCGATCCTCTGGGCCCTGAAGCTGTGAGGAAGGAGAGGAGGCATGAGGTCAGAAACTGCTTATCTACAGAGGGGTACCTTTTATTTAAAATACGTTATTTATTTATTGAGTGAAGAGATTTTTTCAAATGATTCTGTATGCTTATATTAGAACACGCAATATTTTTCTTGTCCAAATACAATCAAACTGACATGAAACACTTTAACAGCTAACTATCAAATTATAAACAAACTCATGTCATATTTTACGTGTTAAAATCTTAACCTTACCAAAAAGGGAAAAGAGCTAATCAACTGTAATTGATTTACAACCACTGAAATCATAACATGGTTATCATTTGCACCTTATCTGCTTTCACTTACATTTTTGTAATTAAAGTTGTGAGCTTGCTTATGTAAATCATAATAAATATAATGTTACAGCTGTCCATATTGTCAACAGTAACTGTCGGGCAACATATTGCATTAAAAAGGCTGACCAAAAAAAATAAAAATACAAAACGTATGGAACTGGAATATTCGTGTTGCTCTGATTTTGGAAAACAGAACACTTTTAGGCAATTAGACGAAACATACTGATGGCCCGCCCTCTGAGAACATCTGTAACATCTGCTGCATGAGCTGCTGCTGAGAGGGACTGGATGCTGTTGTCATGGCAGGAGGCTGAGGGTTCACCTGGGGGATGCTGCCCCCTGTGACTGGAGGAACTGTGAGACCTCCAGGAGACAGTCTAAAAGCGGAGAGATAAATGTCAACAACCCAGATGTACCGTGACTTGAAATAACCACTACAAATAACAACCAACTTCTAAAACAACAGTTTGTAGGATTTGGCGGCATTTAGTGTTGCAGTGTATCAGATTGGAACCATCTGAATACCCTGAATTTTTCTTTGCCATGATTTAAATGACAGAAGCAATTTTGACTGCCAGATTAAGACAATTATACAGGATTAAAGTATCCTATTAAGAGCATAAAGGTGTTACCTGGACAGGAACCCGGGGGCTTCTGTCTGTAGGGTCTGCAGGCCCTGCTGGATCTGGGTGAGGGCCTGCATGGCTCTGGGGTTGGTCAGCATGGACAGTGTCTCCGGACTCTGAATCTGTTCAACAACAAACATGACACAAGACAAGTCAGTTAAAATACCAGCCAAATCCTCAGAGATGATACTTTCTATATCTTGTTTACACAGATTGCAATTTGGATGCATGCATACAATCTCCATAGAGCATTATGAACCCTGGGGAGGCTCTTAAGGTTACCAAGCACCCAGACCTGGTTACTCATAATCTCTTGCATCATTGCAACGGTATAAGATCTGTCGAGGTAATAGGGCTGTCCCGAATACCATTTTTCGGGCTCCAGATATTCGGTAGTAATCAGCAGCGAATATTCGGCCCGGGTACGGGGGGGGGGTAATCAGAACTGTTTCAACACGTGTATTTCGGTGTATTCACGGCATTCATTTTGTTATTCTACAGTATTGTTGTTTTATAGTTATTTGTTAATGTAACCCAATTTGTGTTCTTTGAAATTGTTACTTCATTGTTCATTCCACTTCATTCTATTGTTACTTTCGTTGCAGTTGTATATGTCTTAAGTGTAATTTGGCTTGGCTTCCTATTTATGGACATGCTTTTATTTTGAAGGAGAGTTAGCAGGAAGTTGTTGTTGCTTTGGAAACAACGTGACGGAGATTAACGGAGAAAAGTAATATCTAGGCTACATATAAAGACGGAGAAAGTAAACGATAACGTTTATGGTTAAGTGTTAGCACCCCCCGAAGAGGCACAAGCTCTTAAATTGATATTGGAGATTTCAATAAATTCAATTTGAAAAAAAAACGGGGAAAAAACAAACAAAACGAATATCCGAATAACGACATTGAAACCCGAATAGTACTCCAACGAACAAATATTCGGGTACAGCCCTACGAGGTACTGAATGTTTAAAACGACAAAAACACTGAGAGTTGAGGAAGATGTCAGGCAAGCAACTAATGTCTCATTGGACTTGGGATTTAACTCTAAACCCAAATTGTACATTATCTAGTTATACCAGGGATTGTATTCCTTGAAAAAAAAAAAAATGCTAATAAAACCAAAGTCTGACATCCTTTTAGACTCATCACCGACATGTGCAAGCAATTTATCGGGGACACCAAAGGTTAAAACTAAGATAGAGAAAAGATATGATGAAACCAATAATTTAGTAGCCTTACAATGTGATTGAAAACAAACTGCAATGTCAGGACATGTACACAGTCAGAGAAGGGGAAAAATAAAGGGCCGAGATAATCTTAAACGAGTGGGTGACATTCTAGTGACTAATAAAATTAAAACTCAAGGTTGGAGTTGTGGCAAAACGTGCAAGATCGGATTGTTTCACATGTAGCTAGTTTACAAGCTAGTTTTAAGCTAATATGTAGCCAAATCATTATCAAATTATATCCAAAAGCCTGCTCCAACATGATTGGTTTATACAACTCAGACCGCAATTCGAAACCTGAATATTTCCGGCACCCACAATTTGTGCCGTTACATTCAGTTTCTACGTGTGAAAGCAGAATCTGTTTATATAGTTAAGACAGCCTAACTACTGCAACTTTTAACACAAGATAAATCTTTGTTTTAGGGCTCAGCACTGACCCGTCTCATGAGCTCAGGGTTGTTGAACATGCTGGAGACGTCCGGGTTACTGTCCATGAGATTCTGCATCTGAGGATTGCCTGCTAACACTTGTCTCATCAGGTCTGGGTTGGACATCATGTTTTGGACCATGGGGTTGCCCATCATCTGCGTCAGCATCGTTGGGTTGGACATCAGCTGACTCTGCACCTGCTGCTGCATCTCCATGAAGCTGGACGAACCCATGCCCAGGCCCAACAGGCCAGACAGGTCCCCGAGCCCACCTGAGGAGGAGGAGGAAAGCTGGAGATTAGATACTTGCAGGAATACAAACCTGTTGACTATTGGAACAAAAATATATTTTTGCCGTAGGATTTTATTGCTTTGATTAGACCTCCCAAAAATGTTTTTACATTTCTAAATGTATAAATCATACCCATTGGATTAGCAGTTTGTGTTGGGGTCTGACTCATGCCACCCTCTGCTCTGTCCGCTACAGTGGGGTTTGTGGTGATGCTGCTGTAACTTGGAGGGTTTCCATAATTGGAACTTGTCTGAGATGGGCCATCACCTGTTGATCTACAGACAGAGAGCAACCATTAAATAAAATGTTCACAAGGTGTTAGCTTTGTCACCCGCACACAAATTGTACCTACTTTGGGACAGTCTTGATGACAAGGTGAACAGTTAACCCGTCTTTGATACCGTGCTGCTTTAAAGGATCACCATCCTTCAGAATCTTTCCAGCAAATATCAACACCAGCTGGTCCTGCTGGGCCTCAAATTTTTTGGATACCTCCTGTTTGAACTGGACAAATAAAACAAAAGCAAGTTAGCCACTCCTCTTCAGTCCCTACATTCTTTTTTAGTAGTTGTTAAGTTAAATATAATATCAACTGCATTAATATGTATCGCGTGGCCCTGTTTTGAAGAGGGATGCTTTTTCAAAATCTACGGTAGTTGTAAAACCTTTATTATTTATAATATTTGTTTGTATTGTGCACGCACACATTTAGCTAACCAGGATCGAATAATATTCTTGTAAACTGGTTGGTTGATGATATCGACAAAATATAAAATAAACTGCCAATGTGCAGATGATCTAAAAACCAGATGGTAAATCTCCCCAGATCAATTTATTCCCAATTCAAATAGAATATTACTAATCTGTTTTCGATGATTTGATTTGTCGTACTTTATTAATGTTATTGCTGTAGCAACTAAACTCCCAATTGATGTATAATTTAGAGGCTAAGCTTTTTTCACGGTGTCAATTGTTATTGCTTTTCCAATAAGTATTTATTAACTCTGTTTTATAAGGTGCTGTATGAATAAACTATAATTATGTATATATATTATTATATTTTAAACTGTTGTGTGTTTTTTCGTTTTTGTTTGATAGTTCCAGACCCACATTTGTTTTCTTTCTTGGGGCCACAAGAGGGATAGTTTTTGCTTAATTTTCACGGATTGGGTGATTATTATCAGCACTACAAGAGAGTAGGAATACTCGGTCACAAGTAAAAGTCCTACAATCAAAATGTTACTCAAGTACGAATTGAAAAGTATTAGCATCAAAATATACTCATTATGCACATTGGCCCATTTCAGAATCATATATGTTTTACTTTAAAGTATTGATGCATTCAAGTGTTATCAGAGCTGGTGGAGCATTTTTTAAATAAATAACAAAGTAAAGTATTATTTAAGTATTATTCATGTAGTGGAGTGCACACGATTTACCTCTGAATTGTAGTGGAGTAGAAGTACAGAGTAGCAAATGTAAATACTCAACTAAAGTACAAGTCCCTGAAAATGTAAGCAAGTACAGTACTTTAGTACATTTTCTTAGTAACTTTACACTAGTGTCAGTAACTTTTTTAGTAATATTGGTCAACAGCACCACACCCAGATACATGTCAATGGGCTAATATGTAAGATAACATGAAGGCATTATCGCTTCAGAACAAACTAAACAACGATTGGTTTCACAGCAGTTTCATTGTTATAATGAATAAGCCGTTATACGACGTCAGTGTCGAAATTAGCCAAATATGGTTAGCTCTTATCTGCTAATCATACGCAGGTCCACCGTCGTAGGAAATATTTAAACCTTTATTTCGCACCAGGATTTTTGAAATTAGTACTATAGTAATATAGTAAACGTTTTTGAGACCACGAAAATTGGTTTTATAACGTATCTCGCTGCTGGGTAGTTAATTAAAAATACGTTTTGACCTTTCCTCGGATGTCTACGAGTAAACGCGTGATGACGGGTGCATGATTTCTACAGCCGGTTTTTAAAAAGCTCTGTTACCTCTGAGACAGAAGAGTCCTCCGATATAGAAATGTCCTCTTTTCCATTGGGGGTTTTGACAGTGATCACCATCATAGATCCTCCTGAAGCAACAGTGTTATCCATGTTGTCATCCTCCGTGCGATCTGTGTTGCTATTGTCGGCCATCTTTACTACTGCTTCTTCTTCTGTGTTACTTCCGGTGCAGTTGAAGCCACCACCCATCGGTCTTCACAATAAACACCGTTACATATTTGGGATATATTTATTGTCATAAATAAAATAAAAAACGTTTTTTGTTACTTAGATTTGTTCTTAGTAATAACTATTTGGATGCATACTTTTATATATATCTTTTTTTTTCTTTTTAGTTCTTTTACATAAAAAATCTGATTCCTTGAGTTCTTAAAATAAGGTAGGTAAACACCAAGTTAAACTGGTAATAAATACAAACATTGCCATAAAAAACAACAAATATAAACAATAAAAAAAGTTTTAAATTACATTTAAATTATTTAAAAAAAATGATATGTATGTGATGTAATGATACAGATAAAAAGTGCAGTCATCAACATAATGTCCTGAAGTGCAAATATAAACCATTAACTAAAATGTTACTTGTACTAAAGTGTGAAATGGAAAATGTACTACTTCTAAGTATTCAAAGTAAAAATGGTCGATGCTGAAAAATGGCCCCTTTAATTTTTCAGATATTTCTATATAATCTAGACCAGTGTTTCTCAAACTTTTTCATACCAAGGACCACTTAACCAATAAAAAAACACTCACGGACCACCTAACTCCACAAATATCCAAAAACACATCGTTTTTCTCGAACAGATACAAATCCCCTGAAAATGGAACAAACAAGTGGCAACATGTACGATGTGAGGGTCTAAGGACAGAGGGTGTCGTATTGTCATACTGATATTCTGTACAAACTGTGAAGTCCACTGAGACAAATGTAACATTTGTGATATTGGGCTATATAAATAAACATTGATTGATTGATTGATGAACATGTGTGACGAAGGTGTTGTGCTGGGCTATATCATGCAATTGAAAGTCAAACTTGAACTCGCTCCATTGCGGAGAGTGCGGAAAACTTAAATGTATTTATTTATTTCAAATGTGACATTTTAGCAATATACTCACAGACCAATAGGGGGCGCTCACGGATCACAATTTGAGAAGCACTGATCTAGAGTAGACAATAAAGTAGGCCTTTATATTGTCTCCCAATTGAATAATTGATTAGTTGACCTATTATTTCATCTGTATGTAATTGTTTGGATCTTAATGTTTATACAATATAACATTACATTTTTTAAAGCTCTTATCATGTGTCTTGTAGGCAAAAATCCCTGTATTTTATTAAATGCACAACGTTACATTTCACCATGGGCGTCATTTTGTTAGAAAAAGTGGTGGGGACAATTTCTCCAGATTCAACAGCATAGAAGAAGACAAAATATGTACCTCCCCTGGGTGTTGAACTTTAAGCACCTGTGTGAAAAACCAATGCATAGACCGACTCTAGAGTCTAGAGTCTAGACTAAGACCACCAATGTGTTTTTAGATTAATCAATGAATGCCCGACTAAAGGTCTTCTTGTTGTGATGTGATTTGGATTGAATTTGAACCTTTATGAACACAATGAGCACACAAGTATGGAGGACAGAACATGAAATAAGGCAAAAATAAATATACAGGAATAAATACAGGTAAAAAATAATAGAAGAATAAATGAATGTGAAAAAAACACATAAATAAAAGTGGAAATAAATACAGGAAAGAATAAATAAATATGGAAATAAATAAATGTATAAATAAAAAAATAAAAGTTGAGAATAAAACAGAACACACATTATATATCTTTAATGTAT